TATCTCTCCGTCTCTCATTCGGGGTACTGGTACTTATGACTGGTCTGTGTCTCGGGACTCCAGGAGTTTGTGTGCCAGGAGAATTTCTACTCATTACAGAGTCATGTATCTCTCTATTGAGACGAACTATTTCTCTTTCCAAATAATCAACTTCAGCTTGTAAACCTGACATGCTTAAACAAGTAGCAAAATGATAGCAATGAAATTAAGAGTACTGATCCAAATCCCGACGCTGCCGCCAATTTTTGTAACGTGTTCTGGGTCCGATGATTTGGATCAGTCCGCGTGATTATAAAAATGATCAGATTTACAGAAAATAGTTACAAAGATGATTAAGATGAAAACGAGTCAATATATACATATATTCTAGGGTTATCTATCCCTATATTATAAAAGCAAACCAAAAACAATATAATGTCGGACCGGGCTCTGTCCTGAGTATCTGTCCGGAGTATCTGTCTCAGGGATGTGTCTCTATACGGCTGTGTCCCTTGATCTGACGCAGCCTGTAGCCAGGTACTAGAAAAACACCGCTTGTATTTATCTACAGTAAATATACCACTGCAAATCAAGCTAGTAAAACAATACAACACTGGGCAGTTGTATTAACACTGTTAAACTTTTTATTATCTCTACCACCGTACCTGCTCTCCTGACAGTCAAATAGAGAATGACCAACTACCTCGGATGCGCTCTTATATATACTCTAGCGCAACATCCGGACTACCCTCGGCTTTCACCATAGCCCTAATGATAAATCCCGTTATGACTGAATCTCGAGCCCGATCGTCACAGTAGATCAAAATGAAAGTTAACAAGAGATGTTTGTAAAACACTTATGCCCCCCTCCCCCCAAATTGGAATTTTTCCAAGTCCAAGGGGTATAACTCTGTCAAAAATTATGCGATTGTACCCAAAACAGAACTCGACCTAGATATTTATTTGATATATCTGTATACCAAATTTCATTTCAATATGTACAACGGTTGCAAAGAAAATGAACGGAAACGGCAAATAATTGGATTTTTTCTAAGTCCAAGGGGCATAACTCTGTCAAAGATGGTGCGATCGTACCCAAAACAGAACTCGTCCTAGATATTTATTTGATATATCTGTATACCAAATTTCATTTCAATATGTACAACGGTTGCAAAGAAAATGAACGGAAACGGCAAATAATTGAATTTTTTCTAAGTCCAAGGGGCATAACTCTATCAAGGATGGTGCGATCGTACCCAAAACAGAACTCGACCTAGATATTTATTTGATGTATCTGTATACCAAATTTCATTTCAATATGTACAACGGTTGCAAAGAAAATGAACGGAAACGGCAAATAATTGAATTTTTTCTAAGTCCAAGGGGCATAACTCTGACAAAAATGATGTGATCATATCCAAAACAGAACTTGACCTAGATATTCATGTCATATATCTGTATACCAAATTTCATTTCAGTAGGTGCAACGGTTTTGAAGAAAATGAACGGAAACTAAGTGGACCGACAGACCGACGGACCGACAGACCGACAGACCGACCGACAGACAGCAGCAAAGCAATATGCCCTCCCTTCTTCGAAGGGGGGCATAACAAGATGGATGCCAAGACATCTAGAAGATTGAGTTCGGAGATTATTAAGCTTTAGGAAAGTGAATTTATTTATACAAAATGTTGAAACAGTTAGTAAAAAAAGTAAAATGATATGTTAGCTAACTTGTTTTTCAAAATAAACCTAAAAATATGAAATTAATACTATAATACTTATTAAATATAGTGTAAAAACGGCAGGCATGTTATTGATCAAGTCATGTTCATGTCAGACCTCGGAGATGAATTTCAGCTGTCTATGGTTATAATCATAGTCGGTTATTATAAAGTTTTGGCCTGACAAATAAGCTATGATAATAAACGGCTTGTACTGTATAATCTATAGAGCCCCGGCCTAACACCTGAACCCTTGACCCTGGGGCCATAAAATTCACAAATCTGGAAGAGGCACTCTTGCTCATCATAACTATGTACTTAGATAGTTTATTTAATACCCAGAAGCAGAGAAGATTTTCAAAGAATAATGCATTTTCACAATATAATCTATAGAGCCCTGCCCTAACACCAGAACCCCTGACCCTGGGGCCATGAATTTCACAATTTTGGTAGAGGACTCAATGTTCATTTCATTCATGCTAACAGTTTGCCTGCTTGATGTCCAGGAGTAAAGAAGAAGATTTTTAAAGATTGCAATAATTTTAGTGATTCTGGCCCCACCCCTCAGGCCCCAGGGGGGCGGGGACCATGAAATTCACAATTTTTGTTCCCCTTCACCCATAGATGCTGTATACCAAATTGGTTGAAATTGGTTCAGTGGTTTCAGAGAAGAAGTTGAAAATGTTCAAATGTTAACACATGACGCATGACACACGACGACGGACGAAAACAGATAGCAATAGGTCACCTGAGTTACTCAGGTGACCTAAAAATGCAAACAAGTAATGAGCTGTATCATTTTATCAGTGAACCATATAATAAAACAATTATTGCTGTTTTTTGGTCAATACAATGATTTAGCCATCTTCGAAGTAATATATTCACCATGCCCTTCGGGGTCGGCGAATATTGTACTCCTCAGATGGCTAAATCATTGTATTGACCTCAAAAACCAGCAATAATTGTATAATATTACTTAAGTGTGATTTTTACAAAGTCTTTAACTACTTCCATAATACATGAAATGCTTCCTAGATATCAAGTAGCAAGATAATACCTAATATGGTAGTATAAATAGTTTTTCCAAGGGTCTTCATTTCCTTCCAGAAGGGCTATAAACAACAGTTTTGAGAAAAGTTTTGTTGTGGGGGTAATAGAGAATATGCTAGGAGCACTTCCGTTGGTAAAAGAAAATTTTGAGATGACAGCATAATTGAATAGAGAAACTAATCGAAAAACACACATTTTTTGTCCGATATAAATATGCAATATTTTCAATGGATGGTACTCTAGCTCTCTGATCATGTGTCCCAATTTTTTTCCAGACCAGCAACCTACAGATCTGCAGCTACGTTAGAAAAGAATACCAACCTTGGAATGGAAAAAAAGAACAACTTTAACAATCCCAATTAGATCATGCCTCAGTCAACATCACTGTTGTATTCAGGGTATAGTGGTCTATGAAGCCACAAACGATGTGACTCCAAACACTTTTTGTCTATTCCTGGCAAGACTGTCAAAAAAACAAAACAAACTTAAAAGTGAGAAAAATCTTTAAAAGCTACAAAATTAACTAAATCTCAATATCTGTAGAAAAGGACACAAACCTTGGAACAGAGTGACTTTAACGATGACAGCACACCTCAGTCAACAGCACTGTGTGTAGTCAGGATAAAGTGGTTCAAACACTATTTCTGGCAAGTCTGTTAAAAAACAAAGCAAAATAAACCTGAGGAAAATCTTTAAAAGCTATAAAGTTAACTTAATATCAATATCTGTAGAAAAGGACACAAACCTTGGAACAGAGTGACTTTAACGATGACAGCACACCTCAGTCAACAGCAGTGTGTAGTCAGGATGAAGTGGTTCAAACGCTATTCCTGGCAAGTCTGTTAAAAAACAAAGCAAAACTAGAAATGTCCAAATGGGACAAAATATCCCCCGCTGGGTTTTTCAGAAGTAAGTTTTTTCATAATGAAGATATTCACAAACATGAATTATGAAATTTTTCTTCCCGTGACCTTGAACTCCCCCAAATGACCTTGGGTCAAGGTCATGAAACACCTTAGGTCATGAGCAATCTTAGTGTGGAGTAGTATATTCTAATTGCCCTCTGTAAAAAAGATATGGACCGGACACGATTGCACAGACAGCGTGACAGCTAGACATACGGACAGCTAGACAGACAGACGGACAAGGTGATTCCTATATACCCCCCCAAACTTCTTTTGCGAGGGGTATAATAAACCTGAGGAATATCTTTAAAAGCTATAAAGTTAACTAAATATCAATATCAATATCTGTATAAAAGGACACAAACCTTGGAACAGAGTGTCTTTAACGATGACAGCACACCTCAGTCAACAGCACTGTGTAGTCAGGATGAAGTGGTTCAAACGCTATTCCTGGCAAGTCTGTTCAAAAAAATAAAGCACAATAAACCTATGAGAGGTAAATCTTAATTAAAAGCTATAAAATTAACTAAATATTAATATCTGTAGAAAAGGACACAAACCTTGGAACAGAGTGACTTTAACGATGACAGCACACCTCAGTCAACAGCATTGTGTGTAGTCAGGATGAAGTGGTTCAAACACTATTCCTGGCAAGTCTGTTCAAAAAAATAAAGCACAATAAACCTATGAGAGGTAAATCTTAATTAAAAGCTATAAAATTAACTAAATATTTATATCTGTAGAAAAGGACACAAACCTTGGAACAGAGTGACTTTAACAATGACAGCACACCTCAGTCAACAGCACTGTGTAGTCAGGATGAAGTGGTTCAAACGCTATTCCTGGCAAGTCTGTTAAAAAACAAAGCAAAACTAGAAATGTCCAAACGGGACAAAATACCCCCCGCTGGGTTTTTCCGAAGTAAGTTTTTCCATAATAAAGATATTCACAAACATGAGTTATGAAATTTTATTTCCAGTGACCTTGAACTTCCGCAAATGATTGGGTCAAGGTCATGACACACCCTTGGGTCATGGGCAATCTTTGTGTGAAATGTGAACCTACCAAGTTTATCCATAAGGCCAATTTTTTTTTATTAGTTGTTTTACGGATCCGCCGACCCCATTTTTTTAAGTTTTGGAAAAAAATAAAAATTCCATTCAATCCTTTTTTTATAATCGCCGATCGAACTTGACTTCAATCATAATAAAAAAAATCTGGAAATGACCGTACATTGTTTGAATTTTAATTAGTTGTGATCAGACTCATGTAAACGCTTCCATTATAGTCCCTAAAACACTGCAAGCGTTTTATAGACAGACATGAAATAAGTATGAAGGCCATGTGAAACATTTTAGGTTTTTCAAAACAGAATATAAATGTTTTAAGGACATTAGTAAATGAATGACGGTTTTTATGAGCTGATCAGACTGGTGATGATTCTATGTGTGATGTTATCTGATCAGCGAATGGAGTGTGGTGGTTGAGGAAATTACAGCCAAAACCAAAGAATCTGATGTCGTTACTTGCACTCCATCCGACACCCATAACTTTTCTTGAGAGTTTGGCGAAGTTTTCAACAGTTTATCTAATGGTTAGTTATTTAACAGTTCATATAATATTTATGACATTTTTAAAAGCACATGTTTGACTGTATTTTAAAATTCTGTAAGACGTGTTGTCAATTGTTAAAGCGTCAGAGAAATAAAAGATTTTTTTGTCATTGTACAGGTATGAATCTATCAAATGGTGTGAAAGAAATGTTTCTTAAAGTTTTAAATTTTAGATTTGGAAAAGGAACTGACTCATCAGGATGTTCTTAGACAAAAAATGTTTGTATGAGAGTCATAGGAATGTGAAACCCTATGGGGATGACTTATCATTCTAGTAAGTTTATTTGTGTCCATTGATTGTGCACTGAATTTTAGTTTTATACGGTTTAAGAAAAGGTATTTTTGAATTTGATTAAACTTTTATTATTTTACAGGGGGTTGTGTAAAATTTGCTGAAGTGTGTTTTTCTGTGGCAATGTGGACGTAGCAAGGAGAGGACATCCGTATCCAGTCATAGACATACACAGAAAAGTTTACCATTGTTCACATAATATGTCTCTCTGCTCAGAGAATCATTCTCTTTTAGTGAGGAATGTCAAGAAAGACATTTCTGTGCAATGTTCTGAGGTTGATTTCCCCAACTGCTTTGATATGCTGCATATTAAAAGTTTTGAACATTGAACGCTGCTTCTTTTTTTTTTTTTTTTTTTTTTTTGTAGCCACCCAACGGACATTTTCCAAAAAAAAATCCGTAAAATAACTAATAAAAAAAAATGGCCTAAAGAAGATATGGACCGGACACGAATTATAAAATTTTTCTTCCAGTGACCTCGAACTTCCCCAAATGATTTGGGTCAAGGTCATGACACACCCTTGGGCCATGAGCAATCTTTGTGTGAAATGAGAACCTACCAAGTTTATCCATAAGGAAGATATGGTTCGGACACGAATCATGAAATTTTTCTACCAGTGACCTTGAACTTCTCCAAATGAGTTTGGGTCAAGGTCATGACACACCCTTGCGTCATGGGCAATCTTCGTGTGAAATGAGAACCTACCAAGTTTATCCATACGAAAGATATGGATCGGACACGAATCATGAAATTTTTCTACCAGTGACCTTGAACTTCTCCAAATGAGTTTGGGTCAAGGTCATGACACACCTTTGCGTCATGGGTAATCTTTGTGTGAAATGAGAACCTACCAAGTTTATCCATAAGAAAGATATGGACTGGACACGAATTATGAAATTTTTCTTCCAGTGACCTTGAACTTTCCCAAATGACCTTGGATTAAGGTCATGACACACCCTTGGGTCATGGGCAATCTTTGTGTGAAATGAGAACCTACCAAGTTTATCTATAAGAAAGATATGGACCAGACACGAATTATGAAATTTTTCTTCTAGTGACCTTGAACTTCCCCAAATGACCTTGGGTCAAGGTCATGACACATCCTTAGGTCATGAGCAGTCTTAGTGTGGAGTAGTAGATTCTAATGTCCCTCTGTAAGAACGATATGGACCGGACAAGATTGCACAGACAGACAGACAGCTAGACAGACAGACAGAGGGACAAGGTGATTCCTATATAGCCCCCCCCCCCCCCCCCAACTTCGTTTGCAGGGGGTATAATAAACCTGATGAAAATCTATAAAAGGTATTGAGTTAACTAAATATCAATATCTGTAGAAAAGGACACAAACCTTGGAACAGAGTGACTTTAACGATGACAGCACACCTCAGTCAACAGCACTGTGTGTAGTCAGGATGAAGTGGTTCAAACACTATTCCTGGCAAGTCTGTTAAAAAACAAAGCAAAATAAACCTGAGGAAAATCTTTAAAAGCTATTAAGTTAACTAAATATCAATATCTGTAGAAAAGGACACAAACCTTGGAACAGAGTGACTTTAACGATGACAGCACACCTCAGTCAACAGCACTGTGTGTAGTCAGGATAAAGTGGTTCAAACACTATTCCTGGCAAGTCTGTTAAAAAAAAAGCACAATAAACCTGTCAGAGGTAAATCTTAATTAAAAGCTATAAAATTAACTAAATATTAATATCTGTAGAAAAGGACACAAACCTTGGAACAGAGTGACTTTAACGATGACAGCACACCTCAGTCAACAGCAGTGTGTAGTCGGGATGAACTGGTTTATGAGGATGCCTTGATGACAAACAATACTCCAGGCAAGTGTGTCCTAAAAAAAAAAAAACAAAGAAAAAGTGAGAAAACCTTGAGAAAATTTAATTGTAACCTTTGCAAAGTCAATAGAGTTCTGCCCTGACACCATAACCACTGACCAGGGGACCATTAGTTTTGAAAAGATACCCTTTCTCATTATGAATGATAATGCACCAAGTTTGCCTGTTCTTATAGTAAGGAGGAGCAGAGTTTTTCTGCTAAAAAACTAGGAGCAGAGAAGTCCCCCATTGTTGCTCCACCCTAATCCCCGAGTTTATGATTTGAACACACTTAAATCTACATTACCTTGGGGAATAAATTTACATTGCCTTTGGCAAAACCTTAATAATTTTGACAATGTTTTTCATTAACTGAAACACTACGTTCTTTGTTAATATCTTAGAGACTCCAATGTTGGATTAAGCATTTCATGTATTAATTTATTAATAAACATAAATACAGTCATTTATAATTATTATTAGCAATGGTTTAAAAGAACAATTATTTTTTTATGGCAGTTATTAAAAAGAAAAGATTGCATTGATGAGTGAAACAACTACCGTATATACTCGCGTATAAGTCGGTCCGCCTATAAGTCGGTTGTAATTTTTTAAGTAATTTTGGATGGATTTGTTATTGACCCGCTTATAAGTCGGTGCAACTTTTTTTGCCAATATCTGGTGACAATTTCAAGTAAATCCATTGATATTTTAACCTGGTTTCAATTAATATTTTTTGAAATGACACTGATATTTAATCTTAAATTATCAAACAAAAAGGCAATGTCACTTAAAATGCAAATAAAATTATAAAAAAATGTTTATACTTGCACTTTATATATATAATCTAAGAATACATAAATTATCTTATATATCCAGACAATTTCTTTGATAATCGTCAGAAATGCAAATATGCAATATTAAATCAATTTAAAGATTATGTTAAATACAGATTGAAATGTTACATACCCTGAGGTCAAAATAACAAGTTGAATTTGTGACTGTCTCAGTGGATTGAAAAGAATTCAAGAATTGAACAAATAATCCCATGCACTCATTTTAAGACAAGTGTCATATGACATGTGCACGTGATTACATGGGGTGATGCAATATCTATATATAGATTTGTTTTGGGTATTGTAATACATCGAGAATTTTCCAGAAACTCCAAATTAGATAAGTAGTGTCCAGAATTCGTACAATTCACTTCCAAAAAGAATCATAGCAATTATATTTAATCGAAAGGTGGCTTGAAAAAGTATTATTGTAAATATCTATTTCAGGTCAAACTTTGCGGTTTACAAGGACCACCATTTTGTATTAGCGGAAGTTAAGTAATCATTCAGTTATTAAGTCAATTATTAGAAATATAAAATCAATTTAAAGTACTGTTAAATACAGATTGAAATGTTACTTACCCTGAGGTCAAAATAACAAGTTGAATATGTGACTGTCTCAGTGAGTTGAAGAGAATTGAACAAATAATCCCATGCACTCAATATAAGACAAGTGTCATATGACATATGTGCGCGTGATTACCTGGGGTGATGCAATATCAAAATATAGATTTGTTTTGGGGTACAATACATCTAGAATATTCCAGAAACTCCAAAGAAGATAAGAGTGGTGGATTCAAGGGAGGAGGGGGGGGGGGGTTACACTCTGAGATTTTGTTTTACAGTTTAGCTTTCATTTTTAAAGCATATATAGTTAATAATTGAGCTTGACTCCATATATATCCGAACCCTTTGTTTTCAGTTCAAGCATACCATCACATACAGTCAGCCCATAACAAGACATTCCTTTTAATTTGCTTGAATGCACACAATTCACAGGTGACAGAATAGAGGGTGGTAATTTAATATTCTGTGCACCTAGTGATGACGTATGGTCATAAACAATTATTCAACTAACTGAACCGTTATGTTAATGTGTGTGGCTGTAAAGAAATAATTTCACAGGTCACTTTTCTGATAATTGTCACGGAGCAAAAAATCTATATCCCGAATCTATAATTATTCAGGCATAAACCACAACTACATGTTTTTTTTTTAATTTATCCAAAAATAAACTAAAAAAATTACTTTATTTATTGGATTTTCTTTATATTTCCTGCATTGTGCTTGACTCAGTACAATAAAACAAGAGGCCCATTGGCCACGTCACTCACCTGAGTAACTTTGGTGATGCAATTCTTTACCAGATTTCCCCTTTTCTTATATCTATTGTGGACCCCTGACCCACCCTCCCCCATCCCTATTGTGTATAGAATTCCCTATTGTGGCCTCACCCTACTCCTGGGGGTCATGATTTTTATAATTTAGAATCTTTACTACCCAAGAATGCTTCACAGAAATTTCAGCTTTCCAGGCCACTTGTTCTTGAGAAGCAGATTTTTAACGATTATTTTTCCTATATATTTCTTTGTAAAACTTGGATTCCCTATTGTGGCCCTGCCCTCCCCTGGGGGTCATGATTTGTACAATTTTGAATCTACACTACCCAAAGATGCTTCCACATAAATCTCAGCTTTTTTGGCCCAATGGTTCTTGAGAAGAAGAATTTTCAATGACCCCACCCTATTTTTGTCTTTTCATAATTTATGATCTGCCCTTGGAAAGGGACTTGGCCCTTTATTGTCCCCCGCTTTCGTGAATGCGAGGGGACATTAAATCTCATTCGTCTGTCCGTCAGTCTGTCAGTCTGTCTGTCCGTCACAATAACTTTAACTTTGCCCATAACTTTTGAATGGTAGATACTAGGACTTTCATATTTCACATATGTATTTTTTGTGGCAAGACCTTTCATTGGATACCAATAACCTTGACCTATTGACTTTGACCTTGGAGATATCTGTACTTGTGTAAAAACTTTAACCTTGGCCATAACTTTTGAACGGTAAGAGATAAGGCTTTCATACTTCACATATTGAATCAATGTGAGAAATAGAGAATATTACACACTAAAATCCGTATCATATGTCATATCAGCCCGAGTGGCCCCATATCAGCCCGAGGGCCGGAGGCCAGAGGGATGATATGGGGTCCGAGGGCTGATGTGACATATGATATGGATTTTAGTATGTAGTATTCTATTTAGCATATATTTAAAACACTTGATATGCAAGTTCACATATGGTCATTGATGCAAAAATTTCGTGCTTGTTTGTGACATTTCATTTTAAAATCTAATAGAGCCTATTTTAGGTAACTGAAAAAAATTAAGACCGTAAATGTCATTAAAGAAAGATTAATTATGAATATTAAAATAAAATCAAGTAAATTGACTTTTAAGCGTTATACAAACGTTACTTCCGGTTTGATATGGATTTTCGGCCCGCCGGTCCGATACGTGATATGGATTTTCGGACCGGTCCCTGATATGGGGTATTGTGACGTCACCCGTATCACACCATGCAGAATCGGTGTATTTACTACTAGGTATATGATAAGGCCTTTTATTGGATACAAAGAATTTTGACCTTTTGACCTTGACTTTGGAGTTTGACCTACTTTAAAACATACCTGAACCATAACTTTTAATGGGTTAGGGCTAGTGCTTTCATTCTGCATATATTTAATCATTGTGACAAGATATTTCATTTGATATCAAAAACTTTTACCCTTTGACCTTGGTCTTCGAGTTTGACCTACTTTTTAAAAACATTAACCTTGGCCATAACTTTTGAACAATATGAACTACGACTTTTATATCCATACAGGTCATCAGTGATTCACAAACACACCTTGTTCCTTATATTGAGAACAAATATGGCTTTCAAATGCATTGACATGTGCATTATGTGTGACAATATATTTCCAAGCATGCTACGATTTGTGACCCATTGACCTTGACCTCCAAGATTGACTTTATTTTAAACAAGAGGCCCACGGGCCTTATAGGTCACCTGAGCATTCTGCAACAACTTTCCAGATATTGAATTTGATTCATGTTTTAAGCCAGATGCTATATGGCATTCACAATTTTGAAAGAGAAACCATTGATCATCATATCAATACACTTAGCAGTTGCTTAGCTTGGTTTATTGATTTGAAAATGTCCAATAATAAGTTCATAGGATCTTCATGAATGTTTCATGAACATTTCATGAATAAAATTCATGAAAAATTCAAGGAAATTCATGAATTATTCATGATCACCTCGCAGGGGTACTGAATACCCATATGCAAGGTAGGGGAACAAAAATGCAATCCAACTAATCAGTAATATTCAGCAATAATCAGTAGTGCCCCTAACACTGTGAAATAAACCCCTGACCCTAGGTTTATTTTAAAAAGGCACCCTTAAAATTGCCTATTAAAAAAAATGAATGTTTTATAAATACAAAGGAGCAGATTTCAAACAATTAATTCATTTTCAGTATATAAGTAGAGCCCAACCCCCATCCCTGACCCTGGGGCCTTGAAATTCACAATTCTGCAAGATTAGGGCCCTTGCTCATCATAACTATATAGGTAGTTCATCTGCTTCATACCCAGAAACAGAGGAGAAAATTTTCTCAGATTTAATGTATTTTCACTATATAATCAATAGAGCCCCCCCCTAACACCGGAACCCCTGATCCTGGGACCATAAAATTCAAAATTTTGGAAGAAGCACTCTTGCTCATCATAACTTTGTACTTAGTTAATTTATTTAATACCTAGGAGCGGAGAAGACGATTTTCAAAGAATTCATGTATTTTCACTATTTAATCAATAGCCCCCCCCCCCCCCCCCAACACCAGAACCCCTGACCCCGGGACCATAAAATTCACAATTTTGGTAAAAGCACTCTCGCTCATCTTAACTATGCACTTAGTTTTTTAATTTAATACCTAGGAACAAAGAAGAAGATTTTCAAAGAATTCATGTATTTTCACTATATAATCAATAGAGCCCCCCAACACCACAACCCCTGACCCTGGGACCATAAAATTCACAATTTTGGTAAAAGCACTCTTGCTCATCATAACTATGCACTTAGTTAGTTTATTTAATACCTAGGAACAAAGAAGAAGATTTTCAAAGAATTCATGTATTTTTACTATATAATCTATAGCCCCCCCCCCCAACACCAGAACCCCTGACCATAAAATTCACAATTTTGGTAAAAGCACTCTCGCTCATCTTAACTATGCACTTAGTTTTTTAATTTAATACCTAGGAACAAAGAAGAAGATTTTCAAAGAATTCATGTATTTTCACTATATAATCAATAGAGCCCCCCAACACCAGAACCCCTGACCCTGGGACCATAAAATTCACAATTTTGGTAAAAGCACTCTTGCTCATCATAACTATGCACTTAGTTAGTTTATTTAATACCTAGGAACAAAGAAGAAGATTTTCAAAGAATTCATGTATTTTTACAATATAATCTATAGAGCCCCCCCCCCCCCCCCCCCCCCCGAACACCAGAACCCTTGACCCTGGGACCATAAAATTCACAATTTTGGTAGAGGCACTCTTGCTTATCATAACTATGCACTTAGTTGGTTTATTTAATACCTAGGAGCACAGAAGAAGATTTTCAAAGAATTCATGTATTTTCACTCTATAATCAATAGAGCCCCCCCCCCCTTACACCAGAACTCTTGACCCTGGGACTGTAAAATTCACAATTTTGGTAGAGGCACTCATGCTCATCATAACTATGCACTTAGTTAGTTTATTTAATACCCATGGGCAGAGAAGAAGATTTTCAAAGAAATCATGTATTTTCACTGTATATAATCAATAGAGCCCTGCCCTAACACCAGAACCCCTGACCCTGGGGCCATAAAATTCACAATTTTGGTAGAGGCACTCTTGCTCATCATTACTATCTACTTAGTTGGTTTATTTAATACCCAGGAGCAGAGAAGAAGATTTTCAAAGAAATAATGCATTTTCACTATATACCTATTTAGCCCTGCCCTAGCACTAGAACCCCTGACCCCAGGGCCATGAATTTCACAATTTTGGTAGAGGACTCAATGCTGATTACAATCATGCAAACAGTTTGACTGCTTGATGTCCAGGAGTAAAGAAGAAGATTTTTAAAGATTGCATTAATTTTATTGGTTTTGGCCCCACCCCTCAGGCCCCAGGGGGGCAGGGATCATGAAATTCACAATTTTTGTTCCCCTTCACCCATAGATGCTTTGTGCCAAATTTGGTTGAAATTGGTTCAGTGGTTGCAGAGAAGAAGCTGAAAATGTTCAAAAGTTTACGAACGACGTACGACGAACGACGACAGACGAAAACGGATAGCAATAGGTCACCTGAGTTTACTCAGGTGACCTAAAAACTCAACTTCAGTGATATTTTCTAAATGACATATATTAGGGCGTTCGTATTTGAGACAATGTTTCATAAAAAATGACATCTCACTCACAAAGACACCGAAAGCGGGGGACCACAATTCTTTGAATTTGCTTGTTTTTACAATTTAAACTTATCATCACCCAAGGATGTT